TGTGCTGAGGGGATAGGCTATTGAGGTCCAAAATCTCCAGCACACTTCTTCCAACTCAACTGGGGCCCCCAAAGTGGTCCTAGAGTTGGAGCCAAGGACATCAGACAATGGGCTTCAGGGTGTGTGGCTTTGCAAGGGTCAAATCAGATAGGCACCTAAACCTCAACAGTTTCTCAAAGGGGAGTCTCACCTACCCTCCCGGCTTAGGGATGGGGCCAGAGGAGGGAGGGGGAGGAGCGCCAGCGGAAAGAGCTTGAGGGTTGGGGTGGGTCTCAGGACAGACCCCGCCCCCGCCGCCCTCAGGAAGAGCCCAAGTGCTTAGTTCCCTACACAAACTGTTATCCATTAACATCCAATTATCCCTCGGTCCGAGCCATTAATTATAAATCAGCCGCTAATTGGGGTAATTAGCCCCCCGCAGGCTAATGGGCCGAGACCGAGGGAGGTTCCTCCGCCTACTGTTTGTTCTCTGGTTTTCTGAGGTGCTTAATGTTGGAGGGTGCAAAGAAATCAGGCGCCTGGCGTTAATTTTTTTTTAAGGCAGTGAAATGCAGCAGGGCAAAGAAGAGAAGATGAGAAAGGCCAATTGTTGTTGTGTCTCGAGTCCCTTCCAGCGTCTGCTCTGTCGAGGACAGACTGACCAGGAGGGAGGACTGACCGCAAGCTCTGGGACTTGAACTTTGGGATGATTGCTTGATTCTCCGCTTCCTTTCCAGTATAGATGCAGCTAGAGCTCCAGAGAAGACCGAGGAGCCTTGGACGGAGCCGGAGTGGCGCGGGGGACGGGTTGGCCACCAGCATGTTTCCGCCTCTTAACCGCGCGGAGGAGGCGGCCTCACTTGCTGGGTTCGCCCCGGCCAGGAGTCTACAGGGAAGAGCTGGGCCGCTCCAGGATCCTCAGGGCCCGGAAACCGGGCTGCAGAGTCCCTGTGGAGCCATGGCTCCAGGCCCAGGTCTGGGCTTCGGGCTGCTGGAGGCGTGTGCCGTGCTGGCTCCGAGACCCCGGCTTCCGCAGTGCGCGCGCGGACAGACGTACAGATAGAGACTCGCGCGGCCGCGGGGACGCAAACAAACCCTGGTGCATAGAGCTGTAGGGGCTGGAAGGGGCCGCTAGACCCAGTAGGCTCCAGCGACCTTGGGACACACTGAAGCAGCACCGGTAACGGCAGTAGACTGGGGGCAAGGGGTGAGCCCATCTGGGAAATGCTCTCTGGCCTGGTGACCGTGGATCCAGGGGACTCTTCCCTTTGCCGCTGCCGGAAACCCGGCTAAAGTTGGAAGAACAGGCAGGGCCAGAGCTGAGACCGTAGATTTGTGTGAACTAGGGCGTCCACCCCTCCAGCAGCACTGGGCCGAGTCAAATAAGTTGTCCGAAGAACAGATGGGTGACTAAGCGGAAGGAGAGATGGCTGGATGACGGGAGGGCAGGACACCATCACGGAGAGCCCAGCTCAGTGCCTCTCTTATCCAAGGGGAAACTGAGGCGCAGGGAGGAGCAATGACTCACCCAAGGTCAGAGATGTAGGGTACTCAGTGTAGGACGAAGGTCCAGACCAGACCACATGCTTGGCTCGCCGCTCACCACCCCCTCAGCACCCCTCCCTAACCTGCTCGCCTGCTCGGTAATGGGCTTTGGCGGGCGGCGGGCAGCGTCGCCCGGGGCCTTGATTAGATATTTATTGCTGTCATTTACATGGGCACCGCGGGGCGGCCGAGCGGGACTGGGGAGGGGTACGGTGGAGAGGGAGGGGGAGAGGAACGAGAACATGGGGGAGGTGGAGGCTGGATCCCCGAGGACCAGAGACCTGGCAAGGGGAGTGAGCAGCGGTGTGAGCAGCGAGGGCCTGGATGGACCGAGGGAATCAGGAGCGCAGAGGCCGAGTCAAAGTTGTGGACACGGGGCCCTTGGGCTGCGGCGGGTTAAGGGGAGAAGTGGGACTGTCGCGCCTCCAAGAGGTTCCCTGGGGGTGTCTGCGTGTGATACCCAAGAGTGTCAAAGTGAATTTAACCTGTGTGTATACAACGGTGTCTGAGGGTTTTTGTGAGTGTCTGTACAGCAGATCTGCCTGTGTGCCCTTATGCGTGTGTTTCTCCACCTGGGAGAAATGTGACTTCTCACCTGGATGTGTCTGAGTGAACCACCCATAGCCCAGGTGACTCTAACCCATGCCTCTGACTCTGTGTAGTAGTCAGCGTGTGTGTGAGTGTGTGTGTGTGTGTGTATCCCTGTGTCTGTCAACCTGAGTGACCCCAAAATCTGTGTGTGTGCAGGACTAGGTCAGAGATTGGGAGGGAGGGGCAACCTACAGGTGGTTTGGTTTGGGTGCTCTAATCGCCAGACTCAGTCGAGCATTCCCCAGAACCCAGGCTTTGGGCAGCAGACTTAGAGGGCTGATTCCCCATTCCAGTCCAACAGGGCCAGAGTACTGTCAGCCGGGGTCCTCCTCTGGACTTCTGTTTCCTACTCAAGATCCACTAGGTAGTGTGTGAGGAGGTCTGTGGTGGCTGAGGCCTCAGAGCAAGTTATGTTTGCACTGGAGTGCAAGAAGAGATGGCTCCAAATTCGTGGCTACACAGGATCCCACATGTGAAGGTGGTGGGAATGGGTGCAGGGGTCCTCCAGACACTCACCCATTGCTCTTGAAGCTGACCTGTGAGCCCACCATCAGGCAGAGCCCATCCGGAGGCCCCGGTGCTTGCCTCCGAGGTTGCCTTCGCCCAGGGCGGGTTTCCACTCCTCTGCACCTTTGCCCTTCTGTTCCGCTTTCCATGAGGAGTATGTACGACCACAGCCAGGTTCCCGCTTCCCAGCAGGAGTCAGTGCCCATAAGGTCTGAGGGGGTAGAGGAAGCTGTTTACCCTCATCCAGAGTAGTAATTCCCTTCATCTTGTCCAAAGACTGTATCTACCCCAGACACAGAGGAGAGAGATTTGAGCCGATTATTCAGATAATTTCCTCTCACTGGGCAGCAAATTCGATTTTTTTCTGACCACCTACACACACATTAGCACAACTGGTTTGCAGAGAGAGGAGATAGGGACTAAGTTCACCAATCCTTTGGTCAGACTGCCTTCTCCTTTTCCGGAGGACTGGGGATACCGAGAAATGAAACTCCAATTTGGAAAAATTGAAAACAACTCTCACTACACCCCGTCTAAAACTAATAGGTGACAAGGACCTCCTAGGAAGATGCTGGGCCCGGCCAACCCGCCTGCAGCGCATGGGATCATGAGCTCCAGTGAGAAAGAAACCGGTCACCTCGCCATGGCAGCGGCAAACTGGAAACTTGCACAATTTCTGCGGAAGCATCGCGAACAGCCTCCGTGATTCCAACAGCCTTTTCCCCGGGGCAAGGCCCATCGAGGCAGTAAAGTCCCCTCTTTTCTCGATGTCCTTAAACTGGAGCCGCCTCAGAAAACCTGCACCAGACCAGTTGGCTCCGTGCCCCTGCTGACTTCTAAAACGAAAAAGATCGTCCCGTGCCCCCGGTGGACTGGCCCTGAGGCTGCACTCCAGGCTCCACGGGTTCCCTGCTTTGGGGGATGCCAAACACTGAAAGAGGCAGAAGAGGCCGCGGACCCCGGTCTCCTCGCACCCACCAATCCCGTACGCTCTCATCGGACAAATCGCAAGCCTGCGGAGCACTCCACACACACACACACACCCAGAATCAGAGAAACTTCGGGCCCCAAATTCGGGGCGAATTTGCAGATGTTCCGCTCGAGATCCCTATGCGCACCACCAGGGCTGCCGCGGCCCCTGCGCAGAGCCCGGAAACTTGTGACTGGCGAGAAAGTTCCGCCGGCGTAGTCCTGGTCACCGCCTGTCTCCCTCCAGAACCGGATCACAGCAACCCGGGATAGGAGACCCAGAGAACAGAGACCCTGGCAGTGCCCCTAGCCCCTTGACCGCTCCTCCCAATTCACCACGAAGCGGCTCCAGGGGCCGGCCCCAGCCTGCGGTTCCGCGCCACAGCTCACCCGATCCACGCCAGCCGAGGCCGCGGGAGGCAAAACGAATTCCAGGGAACTAGGCCCGCTACGCCCCAAACACCTACCTGGGGGACCCTAGCCCGAGGCTGCATTTACGAGGACAGAAGCTGGCTGAGCGCTGAAACACCCCAAACCGGAGAATTCGTGCAGAATCGCAATCCCAAGAGAAAAGGCGCATTCGGCGGCGGTGGAGTTTGAGCCGGAGCCACGCGGGCCGGACCAGTGTCGG